GGGCCCCTGCCTCCAAACCGGCACATGGTAAAGAGCTAAGGCGAAAGTAGGGACCCCAGCTTCCTCACTACCCCCAAGCCAGCAGGTGCCGGTAAGCAACAGGATGAAAGGATTTGTTTGGAACTGGATTAGGATACATTTATTTGTTCAGGAGCTAGGTGAGTCCTGACTATTAGGGTGTGCCACTGAAGTGAGCCTGGCTGTGCCTGCAGAGCCTGAGCACAGATGGCTCTGGTGGACATGAGAAGACAGGTTGCGAGTGAGGGGGCAAGGCCCTGGGAAGCCTGCCTTGCCACAATGCCGTCATCCCCAGAAGGGCATGCTTGGATCATAATGGCTCTGGCTACAAATTCTATTAAGTCTAATAGTTGTTCTGTGGTGAATGGATAATGCATTTAGCAGAAATAGACTCAATCAATTTATATAAAACACATAAAACTTTCTCATTGAAATTGGCATCTGTTCTTGAATCATAGGAGCGTGTGTGGAAATGGACAGTCTGTTACCCTTTCTTCTGGGCACATTAGCAGCGCTGCGGGTTAATTGGAGAGACAGGCCAAGAAAGCTCTGGCTCCCTCAGCCCGCATCCCTTCTTCCTTTAGAACTATGGGCTGGTGATGGGGAGGGACCTGAAGAGTTTACTTCAAATCTTGAGGTTTTTTTTTTTTTTTTTTTTAAAAGTTTATTTATTTTTGAGAGGGAGAGAGAGAGAGAGGGAGCAAGCAGTGAGAGAGGGAGACACAGAATCTGAAGCAGGTTCCAGGCTCTGAGCTGTCAGCACAGAGCCAGATGCGGGGCTTAAACTCATGAACCATGAGATCATGACCTGAGCCAAAATTGGATGCTTAACCAATTGAACCACTCAAATGCCCCCAAACCTTGAGTTTTGAAGCAGTTTTCAGGGTGCCTGGGTGGCTCAGTCAGTTAAGTGTCTGACACCCACTCTGGTCATGATTTCACAGTTTGTGAGTTCAAGCCCCACATCTGTGCTGATGTCAGAGAGCCCACTTTGGATCCTCTGCCCTTTCTTTCTCTCTGCCCCTCTGCCGCTAGAGCATGCTCTCGCATTCACTCTCTCTCTGTGTCTCTCTCATTCTCTCTCAAAAATAAATAAAAAAAAAAAGAGAAACATTTTCTTGCCTTTGCCTGTGTTGACATTAGCCCCTCTCCTCTGAGCTCTGCTACTTGTGGGTTTGCTGACATGTCCCAGCTGTTAGATGAGGAGAGAGAAGGCTGTACAGAGATGGGACACACCTCTGGACCATGGCTTACTAGCACAGACCTGCCAAGGCTGTGCACAGAGTTTCTGACTCCTGGTCCAGTGCTCTCTTCATGATCCTACCCAGTTCTAATTGTCTCTCAGCCCCCACTCTTTGGCAAGAGACATCTACTGAGAAAACAGTAAACCAACTGTCACTATACAATTCACAGGCAAGGCTGTGATTTGATGCTAAGGCTCCATGAGTTACAGATACCTGTGGGCTGGGCCCATGGTTTGGGCAGATTGTTACATAAACTGAGCTGATTCCTTCTTGCCCTCCTATACAACATGTGAGCTCATGGGAGAATGACAGAGGGGTGAGAAAGCTGAGGCAGGATCACTGGGCCTTGGGGGTCCTTCCTGTCCTTATCTGGGCTTTAGGGGTGGGTGGCAGAGCCTCTTGCATAGTCATTACTGCCTAGAGAGAGAGAGAGAAAAAGACAGAGAGAGAGAGAGAAAGAGAGAGAGAGAAACTCTGTAGCCCTGTGATTGCATTATCCCAACCATTTGGTTAGTGTAATTGTATGTGCAAAGCTGACAAATGTAATTTCCCCAGACTTAATACTCGCCCCATTTTCTCTCTGAGTTTCTTCATCTGATTAGCTAAAGTGACTCAAACTTCCGAGAAAGCTTCGGGAAGCACCTGGACTGGCTTTTCCCTGACTAGGTGCTCCAGTGGCTCAGCTCATGGGCTTAGGGGTGAGACCACCCCCAAATCTGGAGGTGAGGCCCTCATCATGGGGCTGACTTAGGGGATGTGCGGAGTGTTTGGGGAAACCTGGACATTTTGTGAGTACCTGTTTTCAAAAGGCCCAATGTGACCTTTGTGTTTCTAGGAGGTGCTCTCACATCTGCCAGGAGAAGAGCTGAGAGGCCAGCAGCCGCCCTTGTTCTAGCCCAGCGAAAACTGACAGTGCTGAACTTTGGGAAGACAATCTTGTTATTTTGTCTCCTCCATCCTTTGTTGGAAGGTTGGGGGCTGACTTGTTTACTGGACATGCAGGCAGGGACTTTCGTCTGGGGTGTTCTCCTGCTCTCTTCCATTTTTAGTGTTTATCTCTGGACACGGACACCTAAAGTAGCATAGTTGACTGAAAGAACATAGATTTTGGGGTCACATCTTGGCTCCATTCCTTATCAGCTGTGGGGCTCATTCCTCTAGACTATCTTCTCATCCCACAGTGGTAATGACCGCAGCTACCCGTGGCCAGAGTGAGGACTGGATCGATTGGTGTGTGAAACAGCCCAGCCCAGCCCAGGTCAGGCAGGCTCCTTGATTGCTCCTTCCCTTCCTTCCCCTTCCCAGCACATCCCTCCCTCCTTCTCCGGAGGCCCTCTCAGTCTGGTTAAGCTTCACCTCGCAAGCCATGACCCAATGGTTCACAGGACACCCCCTCCTTTTCCACCTGTGCTCTCCTCTTCTAGACTGGGGGTTCTTGGAGTGCTGGACTGGGTCGTGGTCTGCTCAGTATCTCTGAGCACATAACTGGCACAGAGGAAGTGTGTAAGGGCTGTGGTTGGGTCTAGATGAAAGCCAGGTGAGGGAGGGACTCAGCATGGACTTGGGTGCCCATTCTCCCTGACCACGAGGCTGAGTCCTGGCCAAGTGCTGCTTCAGGGGCCATGGTGGATGTTGTCCTGTGTTGGTGGGACAGGGCCACCCTGCTCATCCTTCTTCTGATGAATCAGAGACACCCCCACCACACACTGCTAGGGGTGGGCGACAGGGTGGGACTGCAGCATCTGTCAGCAGGGGTAGGGGTCGGGAGCCTGCCTCAGCTTCTCCCCCCCTGCTTGCTCCCCAATGTGAGAGCCGGTTCCTGGGAAAACACTGCCTCTGTATCTAGTTCTCTAAAGCCCTTCCAAGGAGCCATCTCGGCTGCTTGTGGATATATTTGCCTCAATGTTCTCTTCTCTTGCAGTTGGGGTCATTCTGGCAGGGGGTCTGGAGACAGAATGCTGACCCACAGCCACCTGCCTGTCCTTCCTGCTCTGAGGTTGGGCTGGGCAGCAGAGGAAGCTCCAGCCTCTCAGGCAACCACTCGCTTCTGATTTTAGTCGGAGGTTGCAGGTAGCATTGCCGCTTTCCAGCCACCACATGCTTTCATTAGTCTGAGTGGCCACTGGGCAGACCCTCATCAATGAGCCTTTTAGGGGCAGTGGGGATTATACGGCAATAAACTGGGGAGGCAGGCAGGGTGGATGGCTGCTCCTAAGTGCTCGCTGTAGGGGAGCGGGCTGCCAACATCTGAGATCTGAGAACTGAGCTCAAGCCTGAAGTGCCCCCGGGTCAATCAATACATGTTTCCAGAGTCCCTGCCATGTAATCAGTGCTAGTGGACAGACAGGCCGGGGGCTTGCCACCATGTTTGCTGAATGTGTCCTGAATTTATGGTCGGGAGGCAGTGACTGACTAGGGGCCTGGGAGTTCTGGAGCTCAGTCCCTGGGGTGGGACAGTGGGGAGAGGCGTTGAATGATCAACAGAAGGCTGCCTCCCTCACGTTAGCCCGTTTCATGAATGATGGTGCGGCAGAGTTAGGAAACAGAGAGAGGTGGCAGGTTCACTTTCATGCGGGAAAATAAATGAAAAGGTGTTTTGAGGTTTTAGTTAAAGGTGAAGGGAAGAGAGGGGAGAGATGAAGGGAAAAGCCCAGGTCTGGCCCCTGGGTTAGATCAGGCAGGAATTGGGGACAGAGAGAGCTCTACCTGGGGTGGCTCTTCAGGGCAGAGAAAGGATGAGATGTCTTTGCTTCAAAGATGAAGCAAAGCTGATGTTTATGTAATAAGTTGAGAGTCAGTGAAGTTAGTGTGAAGGTATAAGCCTCTAATTCTTTTTTTGTACTTTGTACTCAACAAGGATTTCACATTATAAGTAGAAATTTTAAACATTTATAATTAACTATTGTTATTTTAATAAAGTGACCTTTTATAGAAAAAAGAGTGTGGCAGACAGGCCTGTACACCTGCTTCTTCAGGTTACTCACGCTACTCCCATACCCAGGCACCTACACCACGGCCACCCTGGGGGAACCCCTTGACCTGCTGGTGTCTGGCCAGGGGCTTCTCAGCTCTGGGGTGAGGCTCATAGGTCTGATAACTGCCAAGGAACATCATGCCAGGTTTGGAGATTGAGTCTAAGAGACTTCCTCCTGGTACAAAGAGTAGCTGAGAAGTCCCACCATGGTTTAGGGCCAGAGGCGGAAGAGGCCTGGGTTCGAATCAGTATGAGTCTTCATGGGAAGTCTTACAGCCCAGAAGATGCTGAATCAAACAGCTTTGGAGGGGAGCCATGCTTTGGGGAAATGTGTTGAACCTGAAGCTTTTGGGCCTTTACTCATAATGGGCTAGCCTGTCTTTGTGCAACAAATAACGTTGGCTTTGGGCCCAGCCTTCTTTATGAGGGGAAGAAATCTGATGTAGGGTTTGCTTTGTTCAGTGAATGGGGAGTGCTTTCAAGGGAGGAGAGGACACCAGCTTGGTTCTCCTGTGTTGGTGCCTGGGTTGGTGCTCCAGTTACCCCTTTGCACAACTTCTAGATGCTCCAATAGGCGAGGCAATAAGAGACCCAAACAGCACCCTCTTGGAGCCCACAGCCAGGGTTTAGGTTCTATTCCTTTTAAAGCTTGACTATTTTATTCTTTAAACACCACTCCCCACTGCAATCACCGCATCGTATCTCTCTTCTGCCTTTTGCAACAAAAAATTTACTTTACTCACATTTGTAAGTTGAACCCTTACCTGTAGGATCAAAGATGGGGATCTCTCTTGGTGTACTTTCCCAGGGCTTCGGCTCCTTGTGTGGGTTTCTCTCAAACAGATTTCTTGATTTGGGTGCTGTATCCTGTGGCACCTTGTCCTCCCCACTAACTAGAATAGAGAAGACCCATGTGCTGAGTTAGGTGAGCCTCTGTTTAAGAGAGACAGATGTGTATGCCCCAGGGAAGGTGGGAGAGGCAGGTGGTCTTAGGTTAAGGAGGGGTAGTAAGGTTCAGGGTAGTCTGGGTCAAGGCCAAGTGCAAGGGACAGGGTGAACTCACTGGTGAGGTAGCAGTCCAGGCTGATGGAGATATTGTCAAAAGCCACGGTGGCTCTGGATCCTTGCCCCCACCACGCAACAATCTGCAGCCAGAACCTGTACGTGTGTCAAGAGGAGTGTGTGTAAGGAACAGTCTGGGTTGGTCATTTCTCAGGATTCAGCATCTGGTGAATGTGTGCCAATACCTGGGTTATTACTGTGGTTTTTATCCGCCTTACCTAATCTCAGAGCAGTTGTGAGAGGGGAGCAGTCCACAGCTCCCCCTACTTCTCCAGCATGAGTATTTCCCTTTCTAAGAGATTGTTCCATATGTTAATCCAGTTTAGAGTCTGGGGCTTGGGTCTAGGACTCTCTGAAACTCTGAGGAGAAGTCTTTCACTTTTGGGGCATGGAGAGTTGGGCAGAAATGAGTGGACTTGACAGTCAGTGGGTACTCCCTGGTAAAGCTGAAGTCATTATTAAAATACTAAAATGCTTCTGTACCAACTGATGAAAACCCATTGTCCCCCAAGTGTCCCATGCTTGTTGCCTCAGGTAGCCTGGCTCCTGCCCTGGTACCCTATTTTTTCACATTATCCAGCAACCAAAAGTTTAACCCAGTCAGGGGACCTCAAGGATCTGATGTCTCATCCAGCATCAGTCTCCACTGCACTCTGTGCAGTGCCTGACCCGTCTTTAAATATTAAATAATTTGACTATGATTCCTTGGAGTTTGTAACCAATACAGAGTGGGCTGTAAGTATTAACAGGAAACCCATCAAGGTTTCTTCACAGAGAAGGTAGCATTTAAGTTGGTTTCGAAAGAAGGCGAGGACTTGGGGATGTGGATGAGGGGCTGGGGACAGTGAGGAGAGGGCATCTGTGGCAGAGGAAGTAGAGTGAGGGATGTCTCAGAGCAGGGCAGAGCCCCTGTGGCTCACGTGTGAGGGGTGTGGAAGGACACAAAGACAGTGAGAGCCACGTGTGAATCACACACCCGCATCAGGCTTCTCCACGAGCCTTGGCAAGGTCATAGTTGCCTCAGATTTCCCCAGGGGACACGGTCTGTGGATGAGCTCCCAGCTCAAGCATGTGTAAGTAGGACACAGCCAGGCCTAGATTCTCAGGTGGCCAACAGGGGTCTTAACACTGTCATCCTGTTCTGTTTACAGCAGTTGCCAGCGTTTGAGAGATGCAGCTCGCAGGCAGTAAGAGAACAGGTGCATAGGGCCACTTGGGGATGGTGACTGGAAAGGATCATGTTCCCAGGTGGAACAGCAGTGGATAAGGGCCCCACAGCCCACCATCTCCTGGGTCACCATCTCCTCTCTAGGTCACCATCTCTGAATCTGTCATCCACAGGCTGAGGAGCTGAGTACGATGGGGATGGCTTCCAGGAGGCTGTGGGTGCCTGAGCAGGTAAATTACATGTGTGCACCCACTGAGTGTGGGAGACAGGGACAAAATCCCTGTTTTGCCCTAACAGGGTCCTTCCAGGGAGGCTGCATGGCCCCCGTCCCCTATCTACTCTCCCTCCTCTCTCTCTGCCGTCCTTCCTCATTACTGAGAGGTTAGGGCTGCAAGGTTCTCAACCAGCCACGGGGCCTCTTAGCATGGAAGGCATGATGCACGCTGGGGATGGAATGGTTTCTAAATAGAAGAGTTTCTAAAGTGCTCTGCAAGGCAACGGCAGTGGCAGCTGCTGTTTAAAAGAGTTTGATTGACACCGGGAATTGCACATATTTTGAGTCAGAAACACTCCTAACAATCAGGGAAGACTCAATCAGATGTAGAATCAGATGTAAACATGCAATGCAGCCTCTGTCCACCCAAAAGGCCACAGTGCCAGCCCTTCCCCAAATGCTCCAGACTCCTGAGGCTGCAGGGAAGGGACAGGGGGAACAAAGGTGGTTTATGCTGAGGTGTGGGGAGGGCAGCGGTGAAACAGAGGCAGTTTGGGAATGGGGTTAGGGGATGGTGGGTATTGGGGCAGGGAGGGGACAGCAGAACCAATCTGGGACTTTCTTTTCTGTGGGGTCATTTGCCAAGAGGCCAGATGGCCATCGGGGCAACTCAGATCCAGGATTCTCTGGTTGGATGGTACCTGGTTATGTGTCTTTAGCTGAACTTCCTGTGAAGAAAAGATTGTTCCTGGCTCTGCTCCCCACTTCCTGCTGAAGATGTGTGAGACCTTCTCAAGGCTCTCAGTCTTTCTGGTGCAACCAGTCTTTCCTGTTGTGTTTCCACAAAAGCACAGATACTTAGTCACTCTCCAGAGTCAGCTGTGGCCTCAGGTCTGGAGTTCTAGCATATACCATATGGACTGCTTTGGGAATGAGGGGAAGTTCCATGTATCAGGTGGACTACTCTGGGTCTATGGGAAGATAAGGTCCATGCCACATGACTGCCAGGATTATGGGGGCCAGGTGGTTCTAACAAACATATAGGTATTCCACTGCCCTTATCCCAACCTTAGCTCTGTATGGAGAAAGAAATTCAAGCCTCAATGGCTAGAAGAGCTTAGCCCTCCTTCTTCATGGGCAGCCCGGTCAAGGAGAAGGGCAAAGCCAGCTCTTTGGGGCTCCTCCAGCTCCATCACTGATCTGTGCTATTTAACAACGTGGCAGCTGAGCTCTTTCTAGCCTTAGCATGGATTTCTCTTCCCTCAATAGTTCACACCTGCTCAGCTCTTTCAGTTTCTCCAAAGATGATATTTTTGATTGCATGGGTTATTGTTCTCTCTCTCTCTCTCTCTCTCTCTCTCTCTCTCTTTCCCAGCTGGTGGGGTTTGGAGCTCGTCGATACAACAGACTTGGCTAGAGATCTTGACTGGAGCCTGTCTTTGCCTAGAGAATGCACCCCTTGACTTTGTCTTGCTCAGCTTTACAGAGAGGCCTGTTAAAAATTGGTTCTGGGGGATCTTGGGAGGTGGCCTCTGGGGCAGTGGGCCAGATTTAGAGAGGATGGCCTTGAAATTGGGTGTCTGTCTCCCAGACTCCCTGGGCAGATCTTTGCATAGGAAATGCTGAAGCTGCTTATGTAGAGCTCAGAAAACGCACAGCCTCATTCAGACAACAGACTGTTAATGGACAGTGAATATAGTGCCTTATTTGCCACCCTGCCAGCCTTAGGGATTGACAAACCTAATTAAGTTCACTTAATGATTTTAAGTAGCTGACAAAAAGGTGTGCATCTGAATGTGGACTGAGGGAATAGCAATGCTTTAGAGAGAGAGCAAGAAAGAATGGCCGGCTTGGGTAAGAAGCATTTATTTAACGGATGGGCACCGCATTTCAGATTCCTCTGGACTATTTAGTGGGCTCGGAAGAGGGGGAGCATTCTGCATCCCTTTTCGCAGCTGGGGCTTGTCTGGGCCCTGGCTGCTTAGGAGAGAGCTGGCAGATACTGCTGAGGAAAAATGCTTTCTCCAATTTCTCACTGCGCACTTGATTTGCTCGGCAAGAGTCTTCTAAAATGGACTGTCACAAAGCTTGGGTCGCGGTACGCATTTCTATTAGAATAATGTATGTGATGAAAAAGCCCTGCCGCATCCATCCTATTATCTGCATAATTGACTTCAGTTACCAGGTGAAGAGGAGGGGCCGATGGCCAGCTTTGGGTTTCTGGGACCAGCCTGGCTGGGATCAACATGGCCAGGGCTAGACATGTGTGCCCTGCCTGACTCTAGAAGTCTTTGGCTCTGGTACAGTAAAGTGGGCCTGGGCATTAAAGGCCAGACTCAATAGTTGGGAGCACCCTCTCTTCCTGCTCAGCCCCAACTCTCAGAAGTAATTTACCATCTTCTGATTTGCCTCTGGGCATAATGACACCAAGAACAGTGAGGAAAAGTCTATACAGAGTGATTCCAAGGTTGCCAAGGGCCATAGAGATCTTTCACAATGAATTGGCTTCCGTGAGGGAGCCCTTTGTGGTAGAATAGGGGGAGAAAATGAGGTTTCAGCCAAGCTGAGCAAGCACGGAGAATCACTCACACTCTTCAACAATCTCAGTCCCAGGCTTCTAGGCACTGGCTGTCTATGACTAATAGTTCTGGTTCCCACATTTGCCCTGGCATGCCACCAATCTGAAAGGCCTCCTGCCACAAGGGTGTTCCACCAGACTTCAGGACGGGGAGAAACCCTTCTCTGACAAGTTCATTTTGATCTCTCATTTTCTCTTTCTGGGTCATGTATATTAAGCTCTGTCTGGGCCCCAAGAGCAACCGGGCGCCTAAAGGGCTGTCCAGAGCTAGAAGAAACCTGCACCCAGTCTTCTTGAGAGACTGGGAAGTCCACTCCACCTTTCTCAGGACAGAGACATTTCTAACACTGGCCTCTTCCTCTTCTCTTTGCTGCTGTGTCAGCTTATGGTTTTGAAAGCTGAGGTAATGCCAGAGATGGGGTGCCCTACGTGGTGAGAAGACACAGGAAGAGGGTGGTTGCTGGTTTCTTTCTATCCTGACAGAAATATCTTTTTGAGGCTGAATTATCAGCTTTCTCTGCTTGGTGAGGGCTAAGTTTCAAAAGGTAGAGTGGAGTGAAGTCTGGGCTACATACTTAGTAGGACTCTTGGCAAGTCACTGAAATTTGTTAGGTACTGTCTTTTTATTTTATTTTAAGAAGTTTATTTATTTATTTATTTTGAGAGAGAGAAAGAGAGAATTCTAAGCAGGCTCTGAACTGTTAGCACATAGCCCAACATGAGGCTGGATCCTACAAAATGTGAGATCATGACCTGAGCTGAGATAGAGTTGCACTTAACCAACTAAACCACCCAGGCACCCCGGCACCATCTTGGCTTTTTAAAAAAAATCTATGTAGTGTGAGTATTTTCACAGTGGAAGCTTTTCTTTAGCATGGGAGATTCTAATTCATTGGTCCTCTTATATACTTATTTTTAGAAATCTGTGCTTCCTTAGGTAGTGTTATAAATTCCATATCTCCCCCTCTGGCTTTGAGCAAAGATTATTTGAGCACCTATTATGAGTTTAGGCACTGTGTCTACAGCTGGGAATATAGAGATGCACAAGACATTGACCTTGACCTTGAGGAATTCAGATGATTTGTGATTCATATTATTCAGTGACTAGGAGATTTCTAAACACCTTTTTAGTTCTG